TAAAAAATATATATTTTTTATTTTTAAAATGTGTTATTTTTAAAATGTATTGTTTTTATAAGAACCCATGCAAAATATATGTAACTCAGAGGTATACAAATGTCATAAATACATCATTTCAGTGACAGAGTATTTTCTCCATAAATTAGCACTTTAGTTACTTGCTTGATCATCAAAAACAGAAGCAGCCTTCTCCTTAAATGAAGGTTATTTCAGAGTTAGCATGTCCCATTATGCACTAATAGCTTCCTGTACCATTGACCCAGTTCAGATAACCTTTTACTTTCATATGTACATAAAGTATGTGTCACTATATATGCCAATTTTACTATGGAATAAGCTCCCAGGAGTCTACACTGACTTCTACCTCTAACATAGGATGACAGCTAGTCAGAACCCATCAGTTTCTTGTATTTTCAATATGAAATATTTTAACAAATCCACAAGCAGATCTGTACTTTCAACTTCATTAGGCTGGTAGCCTGTTGCTGGCAGTTTAATTGTTGCATTCAATGTAGAATATCTTGGTGCATCCCACTGTAAGGTGGAAATCAAATGTGGGAGTTATTCTGAACAGATTTGCCACACTCATTCCTACAGCATTTGTAACACTGTCTTAGAGCTTAGAGGTCATTATCACAATTTGTGAATACAAAGATGTGGATTGGATATGTCCTTGACAGCAGAACGGCTTCAACTGCATTTGATCCATTGTGTATGTGAGAGCCTTATCAGGAATATACTGAAATTGCATGTTATTCAAATACTTTAAAAGCTCCTCAATAGGTGAAGGGTGCTTAATGCTTATTTTATTTTTATTAAATTTCCTACTTTTTCATCCTTCAAGTGGCTAACTACAAATTATATAGTATACTATTAAAAATAACTTTAAAATGCAGTATAACAATTAGGACTATGCAATATTTTGGTTTTGACAGGGAAAAGGTCTTTTGCAATGTGCAGCACTGTAAATGCAGTACAGCTCATTAAAGCAGCCAAACCTGTTTCCAGCATTGTGAGGATGTTTTAATGAGTCACAAGCACAGGCTGTGCTCCCACAGCTGTGTGTTCCAAAGCAGCACTTCCCAACTGAATTTGGAGAACTGCACAGCCTAATAACTATCAAATAAGAGCAGTTACAAGAAGGGATTAATTCCATTTGTACAGTATTAAAGTGCAGGGGAGTAGGTTTACTGAAAATATAAAACTTCCTCTATCCTAAGAACATGCTTTCAGAAGTGCTCTTACTCTAGACGGCTGTACTAAAAGATCCCCAATTAGAAATTCCTCCATTCACTTGGAGAACCAGGAATTATTTAGTTATTTAATGATCTAGTTGCAATTATAGCATATTTGTTCACAAAGAATAACAAAGACCACAGATGAAGTTTTTATGAACTACGTAAGGATTATGGAGATAGACAGACAAGACAGATATCAAAGAAGAAACCTGGACCTAAGATATTCACATAGTTTACACTGCTTGATTCCCCCCCACCAACCTCATGATATTCCCACAAACAAACAAAAACCTTTTAGTCTTATTCTATGTTTAGTACAAATTGATGTTAGATGTTCTTTCATTCTATGAAACACTGCAATTGGTCCTATGCAATATTGGCATAGTATATGGTAATTATGCCATCTGCCACTGATCAAAAAACGTATAAAGATTCCCAGTGCTTCCATTCCAATCAAACCATAGGACCCAGTTATTTGAGTGACCGCCTGTCTCCAATTTCTTCTGCCTATCTGGTGCAATCAGGCAGAGTGGTGTGCTCCAGGTCCCACTGCTTAAGCAGTGTCATCTTGTGGGGCCCAGGAAGCATGCCTTCTTTGTCACATTACCTGCCCTCTGGAATAATATCCCCTCAGAGATCTGGATGGCTCCCACCCTGATAATGTTCAGGAAACTATTAAAGATCTAGTTATTCTCTGGTTGAGCCCCTGTAGGATGGACTTTCTTTGGCTTTATGTTGTTTATGGGGCTGTTCATGACTTTTTATTTTTTATTTTTTATTTTTAATTCTAAGCTGCCCAGAGTGATTGGGTTTCAAGTGGCCTATAAATTTATGAATAAATATTGTAATACATGAAAACTGAGTTAATATTAATTCATTATTGTACTACAATGCAGTCTTATGCATATCTGCTTGGGAATAAGGTTCTTGACTATACTAGGATTTAACTCTAAGTAAACATGAATATCATTGTGTTGCAAGAATTTATGCTGGTAAAGGATCTTGAAAGTGTGATGTGAGAGTACAATCAGGCTAAGATTTCAATGTATCTGCAACTGTTTCTGGCAAACCTCCTAGATATTTATTTATGCCACTTTAAACATAACTGACTAAGTGGTGGATAGTCAAGAAGATACGTAATAAACAGATAATACAGTAACAATAAAACAACTGATTGTAATAAACTCAACAACAACAACATTAATGGTGTTACATCTTACCCAGATGAACACTTCTGTTTACATAAGGCCTTCTGGAATAATAATTTTTAAACATTTTTAACAAAAGACTGTAAAGGAAGGAGCCACTCTCATCTCTGGAAACAAGCTATTCCATAGGACAGGAGACTCTCCAGATAATAAATGCTTCCATGCCCCCCTCCTGCTGGATATTCCAATAAGGACAGACCCTTAGCAGGCATTCTTTGTACTGTGCATTGGACAGCAAATTGTACACAGAACAGGTGGCCTCTAGATACCCAAGGCACAAGCCATATTGGGCTTTGTGGGTGATAACCACCATTTGAATTTCACTCAGAAAGAAACTAATAGCCAGCTCCGCCCCTGTAATAGTGATATAATACAGCAATAGTGGGCCTGGTCTGTTATTATTTTGAAGCTGATGTTTCCGGTGCTCTTCCAGACAGCTCCATGTAAAGCAAATGATACTGCAATCCAGTTTAGAGGTGACAAGGCATGACTGACTGACTGTATTCAGCACTTCCTTTTCCTGTAATGGCTACATATGGTCCACCAGCTGAATCTGGGTAAAGGCTTTCCCAGCCATGGCATCCATCTGGTCTTTCAGACTCAGCCCATTCTTTAAGAAGGAATGCAACCCCTCCCGAGCCCAAGTTGTAAAGTCCAAGGATTAGCAAATGTGAAAAACTTAAGTACAAGGAACTTTTACAAATAATGGGCAAGTGGAACAAAGTATTTTCCAGCATGAATACAAGAGATACTTTAAAAGTAGCCTTCAAAATACCTGTCTTTATCAGAATTATCTCAACAGGTATTTGAATTTACCATTTTCAGTTGCAGCCTGTACTGCCTCATAAAGCAGAATTTATCAGAGATGTGTCTAAGCCACACTCTCCACTAACCACATCCTTGTATTAACAACCCCCCCCCCCCTTAAGAATAGAGGATTAGAATGGCAGGGTTTTTTTTAGGTTAAAAATCCTTCAAATATTTATTATACAGCCATATAGTTTTTATGACATTTTCATACATTTTGTAGGCATCCGGAAATGTAGACATAATAAAAACAGATGCAACAATAAAAACATAAATCAAAACAAGATGTAACGAGTATTCAGGAAAGGACTTGCTGTATTTGATATAATTCTTATACTAATGGACTTTGAAAGAGATGGCTAGAGCAGTTTCTATTTTAAGATGTTCAAGTCTGTAATACTCTGGAACTGCTCTTGCTAATGTGTTGCTAAAGACAAAGGAAAAGTGTCATATGCAACCATTTAAGTCTCAAAATGATATGTATAGGACAAACTATAGTACTAGAAAGCTTCTTTATGTAAGGGACACTGGAGTGATCAATGGAAAGCATATGTTTATTTAACATGCAAATTTAAACTTCCTAGTCAGGCTTTATAATTATGAGGCCCATTTCCATTAGCACCTTGCACATTCTAGTTGTCACTGCTGAATCATAATATGGAGATCATTTACATTTCAACATTAAAGGATGTATCAATGTTTTATATAAGACGTCTGATGGAAAGCAAATGAGGAAAAAAAGAATTGATTCTCTTGTACAAATTGCTCCTGCAGTAGATTAAATTCCTAAATATGGTTTAAACCGCTGCAATCAATGGAAACAACTATTTGATGTCCAAGTATAACAGGGCCATATAAAAATGTTTTATAAGGTCCGGAACAGATAATTCTAGTCACCAAATAGTATTAAAAAAAACAGATGAAAACTCAATCCTACTGTTTCAGGAGATCAATCCTCAGAATAAAAGGACAGATGAATAGTGGATACATATAGACTACAAAGGCTAAAGGTGAAGGGCAGTCAAACCATGCTATCTGTGAACTCATTTGTTGGGGTCACACATCTACATATGCCAGATCAGACTCCCAACCTGTTTCTCTTCAGGCATGATGCAAATACAACCAGTACAGGAATTGTAATCCCAGCACAGGAACTGTAGTCCCAACGCATCAAAGGAAAATTCAGTGGCTCAGACTAAAGAGTGAGCTCAAATTTAGTTAACTACATCTTTTGTGCCTTTTGTCAACTTTGTGCTTACATGTGTGTGAGTGGGTATATATACACATGTACACACACACATAACAAGCACATGTACAAATATAGTGGTACCTCGGGTTACGAAAGCCTCTGTTAACGAACTTTTCGGGTTACGACCAGCTCCGGCTGCAAAAATTTACGTCGGTTTGCGAACTCTGCCCCGGGTTACGAACTGGATCTGCGGCCATTTTCCCTCCCATGACACATGGTCCGCAGCCATTTTCCCGCCCCTGACACGTGGTCCGCGGCCATTTTTCCACCCCTGACACGTGGTCC